ATCATGGAAAACCTTGAAGCATTGAACGGCCGTTTTGTCCTATTGTGGAACTCCTTAGCAATGCGCAACCATGGTCCCGCACTCGCGAGACTCGAACCCAAAACCTACCAGTCTCGCGCCAGAGCACTTAATCGATTCTGAAATCTCCACAAAACTCCTTGTGATCTGTAATTGGATTTGATGATGTAAGAATGATAGGAATAAGTTAGGCAGTTATTCACTGAAGAAAATGGTGAACGGTGGCGCAATATTGTGGATTGGTTGAAGTTAGACGTTAATGCCGTTGGATGCTGGATCAGTGGCCTAGATGTTAAGGTCCTAGGTTGGAGTCCCAAATGTGGGATTATGGATGAGTACAACTGAGGAGTCTGATATAAGGATGAAACGGTCATCCAGTGCTTCCAAGTTGTCAATGGTGGTCTAACATTTATTCATTCACGATATCAATCTAAACTCAGAAAGATTAATTTAAATTATAACAAATCAATTTTTTCTGGTTAGCGTTTTTTTAACCAGACACTATCAGCAACAAGTTACTGTGGGAGACAACAAACCAGATTTCAGCTAAGGAAGAAATCAGGAAGAAGAGCTGGAAGTGGATAGGGCACACATTAAGGAAATTACCCAGTTGTGTCACAAGACAAGCCCTCACATGGAATTGTGAAGGCCAAATGAGAATAGGAAGACCAAAAAACACATTACGCCGAGAAATGGAGACAGACATGAGAAGAATGAACAAAAACCGGATAGAAGTAGAAAGGAAGGCCCAGTACAGAGTAGGTTGGAGAATGCTGGTCGGCGGCCTATGCTCCATCGGGAGTAACAGGCGTAAATAAGTAAGTGAGTAATAACAAATAAATAAGTGAATACTTTACGTAATTCCATGATTATCTTTCGGTCAGTAAAGTGCAATGTATTCAAAACCACATTAATGACGAACAGCTAGTAATGTTGAAGATATATTTTAACAAAGTAACCCATCATGAAAGTTTAGTTTATCTAACACAACATTATGGATTGATCTTTAATAGACAACTAATGAAAACTTGAAGGACTTAACAGCTATTTGGTCCTAGTTTGGAATTTGTCATCATTGTGCACCCACATCTCACTCAGAGATTGGACCCAAGACTTTCAGGTCTAGCAACAAACGAATAACCTTCGGATATCTGAGTTGAATCACTGATGACTAATCTTGAGAGGTAATCCCTATAGTTCATTTGAAAAGCTGTGACCAACAAACTTCAACCATGTAAGACAACTATCGCCAAAGGTAGGACGTGATGATAACATAATATCATGAACTAAATGAAGTTAGAAATGTATATTATTGAATATAAACTCAGTGGTTTAAAGGTTAAGAGCCCTCCAAAAGATCTAAATGTGCTTGATTCGATATCTAGTAATGTTATAGTTGTCCACTACTTAAGAGTTCCATTGTAAGATAAGTCAACTGTTAAGTGCATCCTAGTTTTCAATAGTTATGTTATAACAATCAATCAAAGATTTCAAACTCACTCCACTCTGTGGGTGTGGGTTCGAATCCCACTCCCGCCTCGCAAGATTCGAACCGAGGACCTATCAGTCTCGCGCGCGAGCGATTAACCTCTAGACCACTGAGCTGACCGACATCCAACAGTGTTAATCTCTAACTTCAACCGATCCACGAAATTGAGCGACATATTCATCTTTGTCCTCAGTGAGTTATTATTTGACAACTGACCCGGTTGAACTCCACTGGCCATTGCTTCTCACTAGAACTCCAGGAAATACATCTTTAAGGCAGTCACTCGTGAGCATATGAATGAAGCAACGTACGGAGATGTAGTCCCATGATAGTCGGTGACCAACAATAGTTTCATCCACCATTTGTCCCTTCAGGATTCTGTAGTCAATGTGCATCATTAGTTTGGAAGCAGGGTTTTCCACTACTTAACTACTCTACTTCTCATTTCTCACTGCGCTAACACAAGATTGAACAACTTGTATCAATGCATATGTATGCTCATAGGATGTTTAGGCTTCAATAGGAATCTGAGTGATATTTTTCAACACTGTTTGATAGTTAACCTTCGCTTATGACTATTTCTGTTTCCCATGCCTAAAATATCCTCAGAGATATCTAGAAGTGGGGTATTTTAGCTGTATTATCACTGTTTCATGTGCTTTTTTTAAAGAAAATCTCAGACGGCTGCGTCTAGTGAAAAGGATCTACTATGGTAAGTGAACTACCACCCATAACCAATCAAACAACCACAATTCAATATGCAAATATATATTGTCGTAATGCAACAGCCATCTATGGTGCATCCGCCTCGTGACTTGAACGACTCTACCAGTCTCCCACATTATCTGCACGTTCCATGTACCAATAAAAATTGTTGTTAGAAGGGGCATCAGCCTCATGACTTCCGAAGAATATCGGCTTTCATTATTAGGCGTCATAATTATTCCTTCAACTCCCAGGTCAGAGTTTAAATGATTTGAATCAATTTTTCTGGTTAGCGTATTTTTAGCGAGTTAGTTTTTCTACGGGATGGGGTCACAAACTCCATGCTCAATCGTCCTCCTTTACCTGGGCTTGGGATCGGCAGTAACTCTAGAAGAGTTACAGGCGGAATTAGCCATCTATGGGTATGACATAAAATTGGTTGCACATAATCTATCAAACACCTGGAAACCTCCATGTAATAAGCAACACTCATCATTTACGATTCATGTGGAAAACTTATGGTGACCAAACATCATAAATGTCACGTATTTAATAAAACAAACCATTTGGTTGCTTGATGATATAAAAATTAATCTTTTTCACTTCAAGTAGACAATCAAAGATATGAGATCGATTGTTCAAACGTTCGGATCAAGTTCATTCTAAAAAAAAAATACGGACTAATCAATAAGATCATGGATACAGAGTTGACTTATCAAAATTATGAAAAATCGTCATTTTTATAAGATAGGAGGTCAAATGAACAAGAGTGTTAACGTGAATACAAAAGAGGTAACAAAGAAAATCAATAACAAAAACATAGCTGCCATAACGAGTAAATGAATAACTAAATCAGTCAGCTAGCTACAACGTAGAACCAAGCACATATATACATCGGTCTGACTTGACATACCTCATTACCACAATAAGATGAACACCGGATTCATAGAAGTAGTTAATTTAGTGGTGGTAATATATAAAAGAAAAGTTGTATATAAGGATATAGCATAAGAAGAAAGACAGATATGAAGCAATTTTATTTTCATCGTTGGAAGGAATAAAGTGTATACACCTGCGCCATTGTGATCGATTCTGAACCATATCACACGCAGTCTCCAACTATTGATTACGATAGTCACATGGATCCCAAACAAGTAGTCTGCGTCCACCAAAATGGCTAAGACTAGAAGTTAATGACTTCAAGCACTGATGACACGTTTTGGTTTGACCGCCCCTAACTTTCTTCCAACCATCCCCAACACTAGTAAGCATAGCGCGTTGTGGTAATCGGTATTCAGGCATATGTAACACGTGGCTTAACCATCTCAGTCGATGAAGATTCATGACCTCATCAACTGATTTACCATCATTCCCTAATATCCTGTGTCTAACCTCATTATTACTAACCTGATGATCCCAGCAGATGCGAGCAATATTTCTAAGATATTTGTGGTCAAATACTAGTAACCTACGAGTATCTTCTACTCTTAATGGCCATGTTTCACAGTCGTAAAGTAGGACAGAGCGAACTGCTGCGCAGTATACTCGTCCCTTAATTGATAGACGGATATCTCGTCTACGCCATAGGTGACGTAAGTTGGCAAAAGCCAAACGAGCTTTTTGAATCCGTGCTGAGATTTCATCAGACACCAACACATTAGGGCTGATCAGACTTCTAAGATAAGTGAAGTTGTCGACGCGTTCTATTACTTCACTCCCTATCCTTAGTTCAGGTATTGACGCAGGCCAGTCTTGGAGTAACAATTTACATTTAAAGGAGGAAAAACGCATCACAAATATCCTGGCATTATTACTGAGTTCTAACAGAAGACTCTGCATTTTATCAGCGTCTTCACCAAACAGGACTATATCATCTGCGTATTCTAAGTCGATCAGTGTCTCATTCCTGTATATGATATAGATCCTTATAATATCATCTAGATAAACAATAATCAAACCATTTACCTCCTCCCCCCCCAAAAAAAATCAAAACTCAACAACATTGAAATCATCTTAAAAAAAACTTAGATTACTTATTTAAGTATTGAAAACAATAATTCTTGATATCTTCTTTGGATACGAACAAATAAAAGACTGGTAAACATACATTACTTACTATTTATGGCAAGGAATGATGATAAGATAACCCCCCTGCCCCCCCCCAAAAAAACAACTTCTATTAACCTTATTATTCACAAGATCCTTAGTAGTAATAACACTACTTATAATAGTCATAAGTAATAATAGTAGGGTATTATGATATTCAAAGGGTATTAAAATTACTATTTAACGGATAGCAACAACAACAACAAGAAGAAGAGAAACAACTAACTGACAAGTAATAAACATGTTCAGAGAGAACAAAATAGACAAAATGAAGTTGGCGTTGAAGAATGTTGGTCGGTGGTCTATGCTCCACTAGGAGTAACAGCCGTAATTAAGTAAGTAAGAGGTTCAAAAGAAAAAAAAACCAGAAATGCACTTTGATTTTTTTGTAGTTCTTATCTTCATTGTCTCAACAAGAAGAGCAAAAACCTACCATCCATTTCAATATTTCAATAATGATTTAGAATGGTTACAAAAAAGATACAAAATAAGATATCAATGATATGTCAAGTGTGTTTGGCAGGATGGGAGCGGGGATTCGAACCTTGTTTGTTTTGGATAGTTGGAATGTAAAACTTGATTGAGCAAAAAATAAAATTATGAAATTTCTCAATATTGACTATTTATTTTTAACGTGAATTGAAAGGAAAGCGAATGATTTTGATGACATAATGAAAGAAATTCAAGCACAATGTAGATTTGTACCAGCTTTTATACCTTTAGGACCAAAGTTTTTAATATAACAATCTGTAAAATATAAATAAAAGATGGTTTTAAGAAGATGGTTAGTTGAAAACTATTTCTTTAAGTATTTATAAACGTATAAAGAAAGATGGATGGATGAGTGTTTCATCCTATGTGAGACTCATCAGTCCGATGTACCCGCATCTCAGAGTTGATGTTCACTCTGGGACTCGAACTCAGTACCGTTCGCTTCAAACACCATTGTGTTATCCACTTACTTACTGACCCCTCATAGCTACCTGCTTATGCAATGAGGTGAAGTTTAAATTCACTTGATATTATTTGTTTGTATCTTATCATTGTTATTTACGACTGAAATTGATCAGTCTCTTATTGACATATGTACATCCAGGTGTAGGATGAAACGCACATCCTGAATTCCACTGATAGGCATCAACCATCTATACTTATACACCTTGTGACATAAGGCAGTCATATCGAGATAGTCTGCACAAATTGCAAATATGTCAATAAGAGATAGACTGGTCAATTGCAGTCGTAAACAACAATCGGAAGATCCAAGCAAATAATACCAAGTAAATATTTATTATAGCAAGTATTCTATACCCAATTTCGGCTATGGTTGATTTGGTTTAAGCCCTTTTATTAACTCACTTAACAGACATTGTCATTTGGATAGTAACAATTCGTATATATCTTTGTACTGTTATGATCACTAGAGCACATGACAGACTCTAGTCAAACCGTTGACTGCTTAAATATCATCCGATGATTATTCATCCTCCTCCTCATAAATGTATGCACTTAAATCCTATTATTAGCTTTTGTTTTGTCTTCCTGTGCTCATATGCAATTTGACTATCAATTTGCCTATGTAATTGCTCACGCTTGCTCGCTGATGCTTAGTCATACTTCGCTTGATGTGTTTGTAGCCTTGTGGCCTGCGTTATTTGATAATAAACTGTAATTGCAGCTTCTCTTTGCCTTCTGATTTCATGCACCGTTAAGATTTGTATTATAACAGTTATCGAGGTGAACGATTAGCGAAGCATTGCACTACAATATACATATATATGCGTATGTTTGTAGGTAGTCGGTAGGAAATCCTGGAACTATATTTTGTACGAGCATTTGTCATCACGACACGTCTTTAATCTTGAGGAAATCGTTGCAGTACAACCGGTATCATTCAGCTTCACAATCTGACTACTTTGTGGTCGAATTCCAGATTCCTTACACCTTTGATGTCTAAACCTTCAATGAATACGAAAAGGTGGAAAATATGAAAGAAAGCTTATTTCAGTGTAGATATTTAGGACTGGAATATTAGAAACAATCAATATTAGATTGGATTCCTAGTTAACATTTTTGATATCTATTTATGTACTTGAGACTAATGAGTTTCGGATTAAATGAACTATAAGTAACAGATCCCAGCGTTAGGCTTTGTGAATAAAATTTTTCCAAAACATTGTAATGAAATTACAAACTCCCACCGACTCATTCGATGTAAAGACCAGTATTAGGCAAGATTGCTTACTCTCACCCTTTCTCTTTCTCCTGATGATCATGAAGACGTCAACATCTGGAAGGAAACACGGGATACAGTGGACAGCATATTTAAAACTGAAGAACATCTGAGACTCAAAACAATTGTTAATCAACACCAAGATCAGAATTTTCAATACAAATGTCAAGACAGTTCTACTGTTCATTAACAGTTGTCTACGCGAAATACTACGGATCCATTGGCCATACATTACCAGTAACAACCTACAGAGGGAGAGACCAAACTAGATTCCAGTGGAAGAAGAAATTAGGAAGAAGAGCTGGAAGTGGATAGGACACACAATGAGGAAATCACCCAACTAAGTCATAAGACAAGCCCTCAAATGGAATCCTAAAGGTCAAAGGAGAAGAGTAAGACCAAATAACACATTACGCCGAGAAATGGAGACAGATATGAGAAGAATAAACAACAACTGGATAGAACTAGAAAGGAAGGCTCAGGACAAAGTAAGTTGGAGAATGCTCGTCGGCGACCTATTCTCCATTAGGAGTAACAGACGTAAATAAGTAAGTAATTACAAACTCCACGTTATGGCTTTTAAGCTGTACAACGTATTTGACAGCTACTGGCAATGTAGTGAACGAGAACGCAAGTGAGGACAATCGAATGTATTTGAATACAACAATACAAAATCTCTTAGTAAAATATGAGAACCATACAGTAAATACTTCATTTGCAAAATATCCATCAATTGTCTCAGACTTGATTGTTCCTTAGTTTCCACACCAATCATTCCCTGTTCACGTTCTCTTTTCTTGCATCTTCTTCAACCTTCAGTTGTCAGGCCTTTCACTTTCGATTCCTGATACACATACTACTTATATCTGTCGATATCAGTAGCAACCAGATAAAAAAAATTAACAATCTTTTCAAATCAGTGACTTTTTTCGTAATTGTAAAAAGGAATGTTCTAACTATTATCAGGCCAAAAAGCTACCATAATTCGAATGGCTAACATCGAATATACTCAGAAATATGTATGCACAAAAAGATTAAGCTCCAATTTCATTTTTATGAATAAAAGAAGATCAAATTACATTGTTTACAAGTATACAATAGATATGATCCACCCATGAACTATTTCCGATGGGAGGGGGGTGAATATTAGGCGTGACCTCAATGAAGTACAACTATTCAATAAAGATTAAGTTATATATTGGATAGTATAACAAATAGGATTGTTTATTTTTTAGATTGATGAAAATTGAGATTATTGAATCCATGTTGATTAAGGTAGTCGGAATATGTATGATGTGTGCTACTGATACCAACAGATATAAGTAGTATATATCATCAATTGAAAATGAAATGTCTGGAGGTAGAAGATTAAGCAGATCGAAGAGAAGAGAACGAGAACATAGAATGATTGGTGTGAGAACGAAGGAACAATCAAATCTGAGACGATTAATAGTATATTATCATCAATCGAAAGTGAAATGTCTGGAGGTAGAAGGTTAAGCAGATCAAGAATCAAGAGAAAGAGAACAATGAATGATTGGTGTGGAAACTAAGGAGTAATCAAGTTTGAGATAAATGATTAACAGTTTGCAAATGAAGTCATTTACTCTATGGTTCTCAGATTTTACTAAGAGATTCTGTAATATTGTATCCAACTATATTTGGTTGTCCTTAATTGTGTTGTTGTTCACTACATGTATGTTCAATCGTCATTTAAGTCAATGGAAAATATTGGATATTGTCTAAATGGATTGGTTGAATTTAGACATTAACACCGTTGGATGCCGGCCGGCTCAGTGATCTACCGGTTCAGTGCTCGCGCGCGAGACTGAAAGGTCCTGGTTTCGAATCTCGTGAGGCGGGATTGTGGATTCGCACTGCTGAGGATTCCCATAATAGGAAATAACGGTCGTGCAATGCTTTCAGCTTTTCCATGGTAGTCTAGCTTTAGTTGACTAATGATCTCAACTATATAATATTATTTAAGTAAGTTAGAATAAAGCCACATAAAACCATATAGGGGCCATAGATCTGATTTCATTTAGATCATATGAATGATTGTTGTCAAAATATACATCCTGTTTATCCTCGTATGCAATATATGACTTAATCCACATTGATGAATAACGGAGTTAAATAAGTCAAATACGAGAGTAGATTTCGAATACATATATTGTTTATATTCATTGATCTGGACAGAAAATCAAAGGGATCAAGTGAATAGAAGGTAGCGAAGCAAAAATAACGCTCATTGGAGATGGCGGGTAAACCAACTTGAGAGAGTGAAACGAAAACGACGCACAGTGGAGATGGCGGTTAAGCCAACTCGCTTTTACCAAGCGGTAATCAATATTTATAATCAAATGAAAATAAGTTACAGACATTTGGGATAAGTAGTGTACACACACATACGCTCGTATAACAAGGTCAAAACGTGACTCAAGATGGATAGATAAATTGGCTTGTCCAGAAGCTAGAATAAGGAGGTATATGGACTTAACATATCAACCGATACTACAACCAAAACCAATATATGATATTAATCCATAACATCTGTTACCTGGCTGTTGATATCAGTGAGCTATGTTGTAAAATAGTAGATTGTTTAGTCCGAGTCCGCGGGATAACTGTAATAATCTTTTGGATATATTGGGTAAAATGTTTTAGAATGAATCTCATTAGTTTATATCCTTAGATTATTTATAAGCAAAGATGAATAGTGGCTAACAATGGAATCCAGGACGCCCGTCCCGTCCTATTTGGGACTCGTCAGCTGGATTTACCTGCATTTCAAACTTGATGTTCACTCTGATACTCGAACCCAGTACCTTTCTCTTCAAACGTCATCGCGTTATCCAATTGATGAATGATGCAGATCAGAAAGCTGTGGGCACATGAGCAAGTGTAAGCGAGCGAAGCAAAGATGACGCATAGTGGAGATGGCTGTGAAGCCAATTCGAAAGCGAAACGAAAATAATGCGTATTGGAGATTGGCGGGGAAGCCAACACGTTATGAGCAAGGATTACTCTGTAGTATCAGTTTATATGTTAAGCCCATATACTTTATTCTAGCTACTGGCCAAGCCAATTCACTTATATATTGTGAGTCATATTTCGATCCTGTTCATTATTCGCTTATTAACCTTGAGTACTTTTTATATGAGCGTATATGTGTACCCTTCGTATCTTATTCATCATATGTCTGTCATTCATTTTTGCCTGATTATAAATATTGAGTTATATAGCAACCATCCTATAATCAATTTCAATTGTGGTCAATTTTGTTTAAGCCCTTTTTATTAACTTACTTAACAAACATGGTCATTTGGATAGTAACAATTTGCACATTCTTTGCACTGTTATACCATTAGAGCACATGACATTCTATCCGAAATGTTGACTGCTTAAATATCATTCGATGACTTATACTCCTCCCCATATGTGTACGTACGAAAATATTATTATCAGCCTTTGTTTTGCTTTGCTGTGCACTTATTAAATTTGACTATAAATG